CATGGAATCTAAATAAAAGATTATATGAACATAAAAGGGACATTTTACAAAATAATACATAAAATGCTTTGGTTGCCCACTGTAACAAAACTGACCACAACTTTGACATGAAAAATGCTACCATGGCCAAAGAAGAAAATAATTCACTGTAAATGTAAATGTCTAGAGAGGTCATCTACAGTAAATTTGCACCCTGGCTCTTACAATATTTCACCATTCCTGGCAGATCTTCTATCACAGTGTGGAATTCTTACTTGCAAAAGTGATGGAAAGTAAAAAAAAAAAAAAAAGACTCTAAATGAATTCAGCTCAATAAAAAAAAAAAAAAAAAAAATTCTAAAATTTCCAGCATCCCTCTGCCATGCACATGTGTAGTACTATCGACATAACTAATATATATATATATATATATATATATATATATATATATATATATATATATATCATGTATAGTAGGCATTGAGGTTAACACCAAGTGATGACAGTCTTTCATGCTTGAATGCAATCTTCATGGCCTGTAGATTGCGTTCAGGCATGAAACACTCATCCCTCAGTGTCCACTTTTATATTTCATATTTACATACACTCTATATCTGATATTGAACACTTTTACTCATAAATATAACATAAAACTATATTTTATCATCTATCTATATATATATATATATATATATATATATATAGGAAGGATTTTTTATCCAACATAATTTCTAATTACTATAAATGTTATTTTTAGTGGGTATGCATGTTTTGTCATCTCTGCCTAAACTGAAAAGTTTTACTAAAGAACAATGACAGCAACACAAACATGTGTCCCCACTAGAAATAACATTTAAACAGTAATAAGAAATAATATCAGATAAAAAAATCTTTTAAAAAATTACTGTTGTTTATGTTTTCGGTTACAAAACTAAAGCTAGCAGAAATAGATTCATAGAAGTCCCAACATAAAATGTGCTTTCCTTAAATCAGCAATGCAAACCTCGCTCTTCCAGGAATGGTCTCTGTAACTGAATTGGTAGAAGCATGCTTTGGCAAAAAATGTTGGTTTCTCTGATGGTTAAAAAGGAATACAAAAAAAAAAAAATGGAGGCACAATTTTTCTTTAGTAAGACCTTTTCATTTTAGGCCGGTTGTCATTAATTTCACTATTTAAGAAAATAAAAAAAAAACATGGTTAGCAACCCAAACACATGAACCCACTAAAAATAACATTTATAGAAAAAAAAATAGTAATATACTATTTACATTGTTTGGACTGTTGTCTTCATCTTCATTGCTATAGTATGCTCCAGCCTTCTTCAGGTGATTGGAATTTCAAACTGGACCCTTTATTTTGTCCATTGGGGTAGATTGTTCTAGTTCCATGCACCATGCCTCTTCTGGATATCTTAGTATCAGTTATCTCTCTTTAGCTCAACTCTCCAAATTTTTATTCACTTCTGCTCTCTTGAACTCAAAACTCTTTAGGTCAAGTCACTAGATTCAATCAATGCTTTTATTCACTGGGACAGGTGTCCTTGAGGACACAATGTAAGTAGTGTAAATAATTACAATACCTCATCTCAGAATAGACAGAATAAATATATATATATATATATATATATATATATATATATATATATATATATATATATATATCAAATGTAAAAGAATGAAGAATAAATTGCAACATTCAAAACATTAATTTAAAACAGGGCTCAATACAAGAGTAGAGCAATAAATATGTATTATACACTGTTACATTAAAACATGTAAGTTACTACTACAAAATCGTACATTTTGTTTCAACATTTAATAAACAATGTCTCATCACGTAGTTAACAATGATGGTAATAAATGATTTTACTTAAAATTGCAATTTATGAGACATCACTTCATTTTCCATTTTTGGCAAATTTTCCGTACAAGGTAAAAAGGATTTTTATAAAGAAAAAGGAAAGAAAATAAGAAATCAATAAAAGGAAGTGGGAAGAAAAGAAAGGCAAAAGAAAGCATAAGAAATTAACCCTACTACCAAGAGATTGCTTCTTCTGTCTACAGGAGAAAATGGAAATAATTAAGTTCTTGAATAGTGACATTATTAAATCAAAGATATGAAACTATGGTAAATTGCAAACATATTAAGGAATTAACCTTACAATCTTGCTAAACTTCATAACTCAATAATCACTCCTCTTATGTTATATTATCTTTATACAAACATTTTAATGTTATCAATAGTGATTTATTCTCGCTTTAGGTATTATATTGGTTAGTATTCATAAATTACTGGTAGTATGCTTAGCCATGAATTGGCTTATTTTTTCTCTTGCTATATTGATAATAGTTTTTAATTTAAAATTAATATAAAAACATAAAAGTTTAAAATTTATTTTGTATTTTAATTTATAATGTAAGGTCAGTTTTGTTAAGTATTGTATTGCTTCTTAAAGTGTCCTTTATGTTCTATGGATAATTTTGTTTGAATTTGTGATTTGATTAAAATGCCATAAAATTTGAGATACATCGTAACTAATGTATTACTATCTATTGGCATTTCATTTCCATCCAAATTTGAATTCTCTTTTTCAGCATAATTTCATTGGCTTAACTCGTATCAATGTCTCATATCTTATTTTCTTAACTTTCATCTTCCTTTGTAAAAAATCCTTTTCACCTTGTACGGAAAATTTTCCAAAAACAGAAAATGAAATGATGTTTCATAAATTGCAATTTTAAATAAAATCATTTATTACCATCATTGTTAACTACCTGATGAGACGTTGTTTATTAAATGTTGAAACAAAATGTACAATTTTGTAGTAGTAACTTACACGTTCTAATGTAACAGTGTATTATATAAAATGTCCAAGGACAAGAAAAATCTATATTGAACCTTTAGTTTATCATTCTATGCATTGTATATTGGCTTATGGCCACATCATGTTGAAATACCACTTCCCCATATGATCACCAGAGTTAAGTAACATCAAGCTTGGTCAGTACTTCAATGTGTGACCACTTGGGAATACCAAGTACTGAAATCTTGGATGTGTGGATGGTGCAATAAATAATGATTCAGAATTGTTAATCAGAGAGTTGAGTTCCAATTTATGGCGGGTTAATTATGCACAAATACCCTTGTGAAAGGTGTGAATCCACCTCTTCTCTCATCTCTCCCAGCTATGGGTTAATTAGTAAAACTTGTATCATTAATCCATTATTATCTCAAAAAAAATTCTTACAATCTAAAAATATTTTCTGGCTTTAAGTAACATGAAAGGGTTGATAAGTACTCCATACTTGGTCCTATGCTGTTTTTAATTTTTCACTAATGGCCTTCCCAATGACATGAGTTCTCAACTTGGTATCAACATTGATGACACAACCATTTACTCCTACCTCAATAGTAAAGCTGATCAGTCTAACAAGGTCAAAATGGCAGCTGATGTTCAAAACGACCATAAGTCCGTTCTTAACTGGGGCAAAAGATGTCTTGTTAATTTTAATGCCTTCAAAGCTAAAGTTCTCTCCATGAATTATCTGAGAGACCCCTCTCTCCCTTCCATCAGCATGACTGATGCTAAACTCCAGGAAAGTCACTTGTTGCACCTTCTCTGGCTAACATTCTCTGCTAACATGAAGTGGAAAGACCATATTGAATCCATTACGAGGTCTGCTGCTAAGAAAGTTGGTTCACTCTGTCATGTGAGACAATTTTTCTCTCCAAAATCTATCTTACATATCTATAAGTCTACCATTTATTCATGTTTAGAAGATTGCTGCCACATATGATCCAGTGCTCCTGCTATATATCTGGAGATCCTTAATAAAATCCAAAGAAGAATCAGCAATATTATTGGTTCTGATCTGGCAGCTCAGCTTCAGTCATTTTCTCACTGCTGTCTATGTCTTTTCTATAAATACTTTCATGGTAATTGTTCAGATGGGCTCTTCACTATGGTACCTGGACTTTATGAATTTAAGCACAGTACTAGGCTGTTATCAAGATCTCATTAATTTATATTTGAGCTGGTTAAATGTAGCCATAAATTGTATGCTAACAGTTTCTTTTTTTCACACTTCTTGCTTGTGGAACTCCCTTTTGGCTCCATGCTTTCCAGTCAACTTTAATCTGCAAATATTTAAATGTAATGTCAATCACTATCTACTGTCCTCCTGATTACTCTTTCCTCATATTATTAATGTTTCTGTTCCTAATTCTTCCACACCTTGCAACCCCTTGTGTTTTAGTGGCATTTACTGCATTGCATGAGGTGATAGTGATTTCCCCCCTCCAAAAAAGCCATAAAAAAACAAATCAAAGTATTGAACATTGCTGCCACATTTGGTTTATTGCTTCTGTTATATATCTATATATCTTGATAGAATCCAAAAGAAGAATCTGCAATGTTATTGGCTCTGACCTGGCATCTTGGCTTCAGTCATTTTCTCACTGTAATAATGTGCTTTTTTTCTAAATATTTTCACAATAATTGTTCTGATTCTCTTTAGTTCCTTGACTTTTTATGTATTTAACCTATTGGCAGCTAAGTCTCATTTTACTGTTGAAATTGGTAGATACAACTGTAAGTTCTATTCTAATACTTTCTTTGCTCTCACTTCTCGCCTGTGGAACTCTCTTTCGGCTTCTTGTTTTACTGTGAACTACGATTTTCTAAAACTTAAATCAATTGTTATTTGCATCTCCTTGAATCCTATTCTCTTATTGACCTCTAACCTCAATAATGCTTTTTTTGGATTCTTTCACTTTCAGTAAACCCTCGTGTCTTAGTGACTTTACTGCCTTGCTTGGGGTGAAATGATTTTTTAAAAATGTTTGCCCGTAGACACTAGTATTATAAAAAACAGATTTCAACATTGAAGAACCCAACAGGAATTGTTATGTCATAAAATTCAGTAACCCATCCTTACTTATCTTTCTTTCTTTCCTCTTATCTCTTTAATCTATTTATATATTTATCTGTTTTTTTTTTATTTTACCATTATTTTTGCAGATGAGAAGTTACCAGAGTTGTTAAAAAATGTTGAAATTTTATTGGCAGATCCACTTGTCATTACCGAAGCACTTTACAGCGTACCCACCTTGAAATGGGCACAATGCACTTGGGCAGGTATGATTATAATAATTTACCTGGATTTCCAAAAGTATATTTATTGAAAATGTTGCATTGTAAGCTTTTTGAAAAATATCTTATCTTCTATATCTTTCAATTGTTTTAGTGAGGTCATGATTAAAAGGTCAAATTTGGGGCATGCAATAACATATTTCTTGCCATATAACATGCATTGTATAACACTTGCTGTAATTATTCATGTATAATGCACACTATTTAGAATTTGTAGCAGCTGAATTCAATCTTAATTTAACATTGTTCAACTGACCTGTATATATAGTCAAGCAAAAACAACACACATATGGTATGAAACACTGTCACCACTGGGTGTTGACTTCAATATCAACTTTATTTTTATTTATTTATAATAAAAAATAATGAAATACAAAAGAAACAAAGACCTTTCAAAATTTAGAAAAAACAAATTTTTTTATTTTACATTTTTTTAAAATTTCTGTCTTGTTTCATCTATGAAAAAAATTTTAATTATTTACAAATTTTTTTATGGGAAATAATTATTAAGAAATAATGTGTCTAATTATTTTAAATATCAAAAATCAGTCTTTGTTTTCAGGTGTGGACAGTATATTCAAAAAACTGGATAGTTCAAAAGTAAGTAAATTTGTTATGTTGGTGTTATAATTGCGTGTATGTCAATACACAATAGAACAAACAACATGAGTACCACTGGTGATGTGAAAAGAAAAGACATGAATTATTAAGATAAAATTCTATGTATTGCCAATACCTCTTTGTGGATAAGGGAAATGACCTGGAGGATGGAGAGACTTGGTAGATCTTTGAGTTGATGCTCGTGTCTTGTCAGTTGACCAGACACAAGCTGGTGACAGTGACAGTCTGGCTGGTGACAGTGACAGCCTGCCCACAGTGTTGTGTGACGTTCTTAAAAGCAGATGAGGTGGATCATGATTCAGCAACCAACATCCTTTGAGGCCTGATTTTCGACTTGGTAGCTTTGAGGTCACCTTCTATGTCAGTCCTCTGTGTTCTTAGGGCTTTTGATATTTAAAAGTGACAGTAAGTAAAAACCTTTTTAAGGTGAACCCAGTACATATTGGAGTCACCACAGATCAGCTCTTCTTAGATCATAGATTAAGATTAATTCAAGCCTTTGCTATTTCCTGACATGAATGGCATACTGTATATATTTAATGTAGATATATAAGGATTTCATCGATTCTACACTGAGGTCTTTGAGGTCACCTTCCAGGACAACCCTCAAGATACCTAGATCTTTTGATGTTTTGAGGTGACAACAAGGACAAATCTTATTCTGGTATTTCTTGCAGTGATCCCAGTGCATATTGGGATCATCATAAATCAATTTTTCTTAGATTAAAGGTTCCTGACATTAAATTTGATTCAGAGCTCTAGTGTTTCACTGTGTGAATCGCATATGACAGATTTAATTTTGGATTCATATTATCAATGTTTTTTTTTTTCTTTATTCAGTTTGCCCGATTAAAAATAACATCACTAACTTTCACCAAAAAATACTCAGCTAATAACACTTGTGAATTTATGTAGAAATTAACTTTTGCTTTTAATGTTTCGAAATGCAATGGTGAATTTTTATACTTGCTTACACACACACACACACACACACACACACACACACACACACACACACACACACACATATTTTCATCCACAGACAGACTGTTTTGTTGTATCACAGCTTTTCATTGTGGCTAGATATCTGATTGCTTCAAGCTAGGATTGAAAACTATTCCTAAAAAAGCCCTGATAAAAAAAATAGGAACTCTCCTAAAACCACCATGTCTAACTTATAAATAGAGTAAACTGATTTCTCCATAAGTTATTCTTAACGTCACTTGAGGATGAAACTGTGCTCTAAATTTTAAGTTTAACATTTAAATAGAACTTTAGGACTTGAGTTTCAGTTTCGAAACATAGTAAGTTTTGTCATGATGGAGACATATTTTTCAAAAAAATAATTATTATAATATATATATATATATATATATATACACCAAAAACATGTCAAAATTGCTATACAGTTGCAGTTGTGTTTTGATGCATATCAATGCACTCATCAGGCGATTGTAAATTATTGGCAAGTGAACAATTTATTTAGATTTAAAAGCAAAAATACCACCTCTTTTTACAAAAAATAAAAAATAGGGATTATAAGGTTTGTGGGTTTTACTCTGATCAACCAATCAAATATGACCTACGTTAAATTTAAACTAAGTGAAGAAGCAAAAATTAAAAATTCTTTTTTATAAATGGGTCATGACCCATAGATTGGCAATTAATGGCAGAATGTTGGAATTGTACTCTATTCATTTATAAATTGTTTATATTAACAAGAAATAAATGTATGTATGTGTGTGGTTCAAAGAATAATGCATTTAAACTAGCTTAACTCATTTCCCCAATTCAATTAGATTCCTTTCATTTAGGGGCTTTTGGGGAGATGTGAAAAATGGGTGTGTCAGGTGTTGGGAATGGAGAGTAAATGAGATGTATTTCTTATAAGAACCAAAGAAACAATGAAAAATATTTCAGAATCACTGGTGAAAATGGCCAACAAATTTTTTCCCATCTTTTATGCATGTAAGAAAAAATCATTTGAAACCAAAAGTAACTTTTTGATTTCTTTTTGCACCTCAACAAATTCTACGCCAAGAAATTCTAAGAATCATTTTAATGAAAGTTAAATCCAGTTTCAATAAAATTCAGATATTAGTTTGAGTCATAAATAATTTCCATGTTTTGATTATAAACTTCATTCTTCAAAAAATGAAGTCCAATTACCTTTTATTCAATTATGCTTGTTGTATTCATATGCAAATCTCTGCCTTATAAATAGCAGTTTATTGGTCCCAATCTAATAGGGAATGACTGCAAAACACTATCTCCCCTCCAGTTTATAGGCAGAAGCACGCAAATGCATGCTGGGATTTCTTCCTAGCCTAATAAAATAGGCGGTTTCATATGACTAAGCCTTGGTTTGTCTGTCCTTGAAGTCAGGATGCTACATTCACTTGTCCAAATTTGCTCTTGCATGCCAATCCCCAATTCTTATCTTGTGAACCCTTTTCCATGCTATGTTTTCCCCGTCCCCTATTTATAGGTAGATGCACACAAATGCATGCTGGAATTTCTTCCTCACCAATAAAATTGATTAGTTCTCGGTGTCATCTGACTCATTCCCGATCTGTCTTGCCTTGAAGTCAGAATGCTGCATTTGTTTATCTGAATTTGCACTTGTGTGTCAACCCCAATTCTTAGTTTGTGAACTTTTTGTCATATTACTGTTGTTTTGCCTTATTACTGATAATTTGCTTTACATATTTCATTTGCTTGCTTTGTATTGTCCTTTGCCCTGTTCTTTTTCTTGTTATTGCAATCGTTGTCTTTAGTGGACACTTCTGTAACTTAGTTGGCTTTTCCCTCAACAAACATAAAACTATCTTATAGTCTTTCTCCTTTTTTGTTTCTTCCCTTTCATTGCCATCTTTATTCACCTGTGAATACCAAAATCCTTCTGGACCTTAGACAAACTCAACTTCTTAAATATCCTCAAACCAGGTTCCGATTCTTGGTTTCATCTGACTCAGTCCAAGTCTGTTTTGTCTTGAAGTCAGAACATTACATTCACTTGTTCAAACTTTCTTTTGTGTGTCAACCTCAATACTTAGTTTGTGAACTTTTTGCCATCTTACTCTTGCTTTGCATTATTACTGTTAATTTCTCTTGCATATATTGTTTGATTGCTTTATATTATTTCTTTTTGTCCTATTCTTTTCTTTTTCTTGTTATTGCAAACATTGTCAGTTCTGTTTGTTGAACAGTTCTGTCATTTACATTTAACCATGGCCACTCACTCTACACAGTTGATTCAGCTGGAGGCTAAAATAATCTTAACCTTGAAGACAAAACTAATAGAAAAATAGTAGTAAATACTTTTAGCTAATTATAGTTTACAACATTCTAACCACTAATATTTCACTACTAGTTTCATCTCAAAGGTTAGGATTAGTTTAGCCTCTAACTGTATCAATTGGTATTTGTATGGTGGAGATTTGCATATTAATATAACATTCTCCCCCACATTTATATATTGCGTCATAAATTTCTTTGTTATTTGTCCTTTTTACTCAGGCAATGAATTGAACAGTGTTTCAAGATAATTTATAGATGACTTTGACAATGAAAACAATGATTATCTAGAAGCAGTTGATAAGATCTTGTGATAAATTCTTTTGTTCATCTGTCTTCTGTCTCATTGAGTCGGAGTGTGATTCAAGACAATTTGCAAATGATGAGGATAACAGAAAAAAAAACTGGAAAAAAACTGGCCATAACTTTGATAACAAATGCCCCCCCCCCATTAAAAAAGAATATAATTCTTTACTTCAAAAGTACTTCGAGGGAGTACTGATAAATATTTTAGCATGTATAAACACATATCAAAAATATATTACATCACCAACGTTTGTATTCATATGCAAATGTCCACTATTTAAATAACGGTTGATATGGCTGGAGGCTAAACTAATCGTAACCTTGAAGACGAAACTACTAGAGAAATAGTAGTAAATACTTTTAACTAATGATAGTTTACAACATTCTAATCACTAATATTTCTCTAGTAGTTTCGTCTCAAAGGTTAGGATTAGTTTAGCCTTCAGCTATATCAATTGCTATTTATATGTTGGGGATTTGCATATGAATGCAACAATGGTCACTGTTATTTCCAAGGACATGTTGCAGCTTATCAGTCAGCTCTTTGATATCTTTTGAATAAAATTCCACAGGTCTTGATATGAAAAAGTTGAATTTGGTTTTCATAAGACAAACTTTTCTCAATCAGAGTATTTTGCAACAATCAAAAAGAAAAGATAATTATCAGTTAGTGTTATGGAGAAGTTAAAAGGTTGCGTGTTTGTGTGTATTATATGTAGGGTGTGTGTTTAATATGTAAACAAAGATAGAAGCATACAAAAACTACTTTCAACCACAGACTATTTATTCTCTTTTTATGGTGACTGTAGGGAAACAAAATTCTTAATGTTCGTATTCTTTTTCAGTCCAGAAGTTAGGTTAAATAAGTATAAGCATCATATTAATGGTCAGGCTCAAGTCAGCCTTACGCAGAGTTGGAACAACCAAAGAAAGTTTGATTTACTTCATAGGTGGAGGTTTTGGAAGACGTGTAAACGCAATTTGTTGTTAGGTTCAGGGAAACAAATGTACCCCAGCAGAGATGTCCCACATTCCCACATCTGCTACGTCTTGGAGTAAGAAGAAGGAAAGGCAGGAAATGTTTGTCTTTCTATAGATTTAAATGAAGCCAAGTTTTGGGGGAAATGAAATTTTTTAGTTCCTTTATGTATTTTTTATCATCATTTTATTTACTAATTCTGTTTTATTTCATTTTTCAACAGACTACATCACTGTTGAAATCAACAAAAAGACTGGGAATCTGGAGATTTGATTTCACTTGATCACCAGTTATGACAACCAGATACAAAACACAAAAATATTTGTGCTTATTAAGAGAAAAGTTATATTGTAGATTTAATATTAAATAATTTTTAACTCTAGCATTCAAATATTTCAATTATTTTTACAAAAGGATGGCTTCTTAATTTTAAGACCTCCAAAACTAATCTGCTCTCTATTAATCATCTGAAAGATCCTTTTCAGCTTTCCATCATCATGGCTGATGCTAACCTTCAGGAGAGTGACTTGTTGCACCTTTTTGGACTAACATTCTCGGCTAACATAAAGTGCAAAGACTATATTGAATCCATTGCCAAATCAGCTGCTGAGAAAGTTGGTTCACTGTCATGCTAGACAATTTTTCTCTCCTGAATCTATCTTGCATATCTATAAGTCTATCATTCATCCACACTTAGAACATTGCTGCCACATATGATCCAGTGCTCCTGCTATATATTTAGAGATCCTAAATAAAATCTAAAGAAGAATCGGCAATAATATTGGTCCTAAACTGGCATCTCAGCTTCAATCACCTTCCCACCATCATAAAGTTGCCACTCTGTGACTAATTATAATTACTTTTGTAGTAATTGTTCAGATGAGTTCTTCATTATGGTACCTAGACTTTTTTAAATTAAGTACAGTACTAGACTGACGTCAAGATCTCATCAATTTAAAGTTGACGTAACCCCAAGTTCCATGCCAACAGTTTCTTTTCTTGCAGTTCTTGCTTGTGGAACTCCTTTCCAGCTCCATGCTTTCCAGCAACTTTAATCTTCAAAAATTTAAATGCAGTATCCATTGCTATCTGCTGACCTCCTGATAACTCTTTTTCTGTACTTGCTCCTTAGTAATGTTCCTGTTTTCTAATTCTTCCACACCCAGTAAGCCCTTGTGTCTTAGTGGCTTTATTGCTTTGCTTGGAGTGAACTTGATTAAAAAAAAAAAAACATAGTTTCAAAGCAAAATATCTCCTCGATGTTCTTCTTCAGTGTTTAAACATGTCGATTCTTAAGGTGTTGTTCTCCCAAAAGTTCAGAGATATCATCATTAATTAACAAAAAATCTTGCATCATAGATGAAATTGTAGTGATATGTAAATGGCTGCCTAATTAGCATAGCTAAGGCATAGAGACTGTATAAGTGCCCAAGCAGTAAGCGGACAGGGTAGAATGTGATATGCTAGATTAATGAGTACCACTGGTCTGAGAAAATACAAAAGAAATCACACCTCATAAGAGAAATATTTAATGACTTGTCACCAGAGCCAAGCTTTCACCTCTGGCAGACTAACCTCACATAGAAATATTCCAATTTACTAAGTTAATGAGATTTTCATGGTTTCTTTGCATCCTGCTGATGCTAAGAATAAATTGATGATTTTATTTGAATAAAGAGTCCATCAGCAACACCCTTGTTACCAAGGGTGATAGCCTAAGTTCTGTGCTAGACATTGATAGGAAAAGGTCTATACATACAACTCTATTTGCTCATATGTAAATTAGGCATGTTCTATCTGAACTACAACAATCTTTGACTTCATATTAACTTTTGCATCCAACCATTTCAATTATATGTATAACTTTGAAGGAAGACAGACCTTCGTTTTCCCTGAATAAATGTTTCTTAGAGGCTTCTATTCCCAAGACTTTAGAACTATCACTTCTGATTCATTAACCTTGCAAAGAATCCCATGATAATTCTGTTTGTTCCTCCCTTCGTTAGTTTGCATGACCATTACGCTCTGCCAATACTCCATAGATAATGAACTATTCCATTTTGATAATGTGAAAACATGGATCTGACATATCAGAACTACTTGAAGGAAGGAAGATGTTTCAGGGAAATGGAAAAAGTTTTGAATTTCAAATTTTTTTTCATTTGTACCCTCTTACTTCTTAAAATAATGACCAGAATTCATATTTATAATTGTTATTACAATACTTTGTCAAAGTTGTTAAACTCAAATATTTAACGATAGGGGAATTTCTATAGATATTTTATTGTTGTAGAACTCACCATGAGCTTATTCACTTGTTAACGGAAGAAGTAAGATTCATCAGAAAATTCAAATTGGAAAACCATGAAATTTTCATGAGTCTTTGTAGTAATAGTAATTCTGCAAACTTACTATTTTTTTCACTTATTTAAATAATTTGGTACATTTTTAGGAAAATCTAATTGAACAAATTATTCAACTTATTTAACTTATTCTATTTTTTTTTTCCAGTTTCATTTGACTAATTTGTAGCAATGTGAAATGTAACATCGTGGAATTTTTACAGGTATTTTATTGTCATAGAACTCACGATGAGCTTATTCAATCATTAACTTAAGAATTAAGATCCATCAGAAAATTAAAATTGGAAAAGCTGGAAATTTTCTTAAGTCTTTCTAATATTGATAACTTTTGTATTCAATAAATGCTCTTGTGTGTAGATTAAATAAAAAGTCTATATATGTTGGGTATCTGTAGAAACCTGGTGAATGTGATAAACATATACAATGTCATTTCATTAAAGTTTAGAATTTATATTTATTTCTTTCAGCCACTTCCAGACTTTCTGTTAACAAGAAGTGGAGAAGGATTTGGTTCAATAATGGCTGAATATGTAATTGGACAAATTATTGCAAAAGAAAGATTCTTCTATCAAATTATGGATGAGCAAAGGGAAAAGATATGGGGCTCGTGAGTAATTTAAAAAAATTTTTTTTTTTTTTTTCAATCATTTCATTCCAAACAAGGCAATAAAGCCACTAAGATGCAAGGGGTTACTGAGTATGAAAGAAAATGGGTAAAAGAAAAAACATTATGAAGGAAAGAGAACAGAAATTAAGACAGAAGATAACCTTTTTTTTTTTAAATCAATAATCCATTAAGGTCATGGGGGCATCATACATACCACAGCCACAGCCACAGTAGCAGTGGTATTTCCTGGGTAGCATAACCTGACAGAGTCCTCTGCAGGCTGATTTTAAATTCAGAGTTTTTCCTTTTCCTAGACTGGTTGCCACCCAAGGCAATAGGACCTAGTCTGTCTTACTATTTACCCATAGTTAAGAAGAGAAGAGATTCATACAGATACCCCCCCTAATTTTGTTTCTTTTTCAGTCTGATTGGTTCAATATGGTCAAATTAGCAGCTAATCTCAAAAATGGTCTACATTCTGTTGTTACATGGGGTAAGGAGTGGCTTGGTAATTATAACACCTGAAGATGGTGTAGTGTGTGTGTGTGTGTCACTCCAGTCATGCTCGACTAGAATTTGCACTCAATATCACTACAGGTCATTAAGGGAGCCAGGTACAAATGCATAATCACATGATTGGATCAGCTGCACCTACATTGCAAGCAAAGGAACAAGTTGCATGAGACAGAAAGATAAGCATCCACTCTAGTGGTAAATGAGCAAAGTCTCTTAGACAAGAATTCGGATAAAAATAGTAATATTGGAAAGATTAAGTCTCATATGGTCATTGATCAGCACTTTTGTCTCATTATGTAAGAAACGTAAGATCATTTTATAATCTATTTTACACTGTATTTATTTATTTATTTTTTGACATCTTTAAAAAATTTAAGAATGCCTTAAAATAATCATTGCAAAAACAGACATATTTTTAAATTTTTTTGTATGATTTCAGTCGAAAGTTGACATCCTATCGTATTCTGTCCAACATCACCATTGGGATTCTTGGGGTCGGACAGATTGGTACTGAAGGTAAGTGATAGTATGCATTTTGATTTATCCTCAAACCCCTATAAATATTTTAAAATTTTTACCCTATAACTTTTTTTTTCCTGGTAGGGTATAACAAAATGAGTTGAACAAATTTATATGAATTTTTTTTTTTTTTTAATCATTTCACCCCAAACAAGGCAATAAAGTCACTAAGATACATGGAGTTACTGAGAGTATAGGAAATAAGGAAAACTTTATTGAGGAGAGAGAACAATAAAAAAAAAACAAAAAACAACAGGTTCAAAGAGGCAGAAAGGGAAAGTTAAGATTGCTTTTAAATTTTGGAAGCTCAAAGTTGACTGGGAAAGCTAGAAGCTGCAAGAATATAAAAACATAAACATTATTAAAACGCAAAAACATAAAAAAAAAAATAGATATTAAGAACACAGGCAATAACTATTGACATTGCTTTTAAATTTTGGAAGCTCAAAATTGACTGGGTAGCAAGAATCCAGAAGAAAGTTTAACAAGCAAAAAGTGTGATAGAAGAAACTGTTAGCCTAGAACTTATAGTTACATCTGTCATTTCAACTGTAAAATGATGAGACCTAGCAGCCAGTCTAGTACTGCACTTAAATTCATAAATTCTATGTACCTTAGAGGAAAGTTTGTAAGAACAATTTCCCTGAAAATATTTTTTAGAAAAGGTGCAGAGAAGCTACATAACAGCAATGGGAAAGTGACTGAAGCAAAATCAAATAAAGTCACCTTGATTGATTTGTTTTGTACTCATTGATACATGCTCCTTAAGTACTCTTTTCAACATGCCATGGTTTTTGGTTTTTGGTATATTTTTGTAAAGAGGTTTTTTGTCGAGAGTCAAATGTATTGTTGGAAATAATTATTTTTCCTCACAAAAATGTATTGCTGGTAATTTTTTTTTTTTTTTACTATGAAAATGTATATTGCTGGCATCTTCACTATAAAAATGTACATGTACACTTTCATAGTGTTTTGACCCCAGTTTGAGGATTCAATCTTTGCCTATAGCTAGGACCCTAACAGATGCTACCACTATGGGTTAGTGTTGACCTGGGAACACCAGCAGTTGAGAGGTGGTGCCATGCTCCTCAAAACGTCCCCTGCAGAGACCTTGTTGCCAGATATCGTCATACCTAGGATGATCAAGATTTTGAGAAAGTTACAGAATATGATAAGAAACCTGAAGAAGTCTGGAAGGTATAATGGTTGAAACATATGTATAACAACCAAGATAAGATTGTTGACCCAAATAAAAAAAAATATATAATTTTGTAATTAAATTTTTGGGACATGAATTTATAGTCTTGGGTATGATGATAAACCACATCCAAAAGCAATGTTCCTGATCGGGAGATTGGAGGTTTTCAGGAGTGTGGAAGTACCTCTGAATTGCAATTGTTCTCAGGTCCACTCTGACCCAGGGCAGTAGCACCTGTTAGGGTCCCAGCTATGGGCAAATAATGAACCCCCCCCCCAAATAAAAACAGAACACCATGAAAGTATAAAATATGTTTTTATAGCAAAATGACCAACAATACATTTTATCTGTAGTTGAAGCCATAAAACTGTGTTCAAAGTATTAAGATTTCATAAAGTCTTTAGAGGAAAATTTGTCAGAACAATTTCTCTGAAAATATTTTTTAGAAAAGTTGCAGAGAAGCTACATTACAACAGTGGGGAAAGTAACTGAAGCCAAATCAAATAAAGTCACCTTGATTGATTTGTGTTGTATTTGCTGATATATGTTCCTTAAGTACTCTTTTGTACAATTCAACATGCTATGGTTTTTGAGTTTCCTGCAAGTGAACTCAAAATATAAACAGATTATAAGCAGACACACAAAACAGTGGCATATCAACCCATAGAAATTGATATGCCACTAAACAAAATCAACCCCCCCCCAAAAAAAAACAAAGATATGGATCTAAAACCTAAACCATGATTTTGATAGTAATCTTTCACGTAAGTGTTGTAAAATAAACTTCCATTTTAGCCATTTCACATGGTAGACGAAGTCAGTTGTCATTCTGAATTAATTATCACAAAAATATATTTTGTAAGATCCGTGCTTATTAGGGCTCAGCAATCCTTTTAGTGACCCCTATAACTGTGCTACATTGATGACTTTTTGATGCATTGATGCACAATGATGACTTTTTCAAAACAGCCTTAAAACAGTTTTAAAGAATTCCACAAATTGGCAATTATTTCTTTTCTTCCTTTGAAATAATCTAATCTGCTTTTTTTTCTGCTTTGTTGTCAAAATTCTTAGTTGCCAAAAAGTGTAAAGCATTTGGAATGACCGTGTGGGGTATGGTTCACTCAAACCCAGAGAATAGACGGGACACTTGTCCGTATGTTGATCATTTCTGGTAAGTATCGTTCTTTTACTTGATCAAGTTTGATTTTGATACAATCAAAAATTAAACATGACAACCTTTTACCATTTAAAGAATCCAGTAGTCATAAGCACTTAGAGCCAAACCATTATGATATTGTTTACAATGGGAAGACGTTTTGGACACAGGATATATATATATATATAAAATTTTATTATAAGAGATTATAATAAAAACATTTTGAAATTGCTACACAAAAGCTTTCATGTTTCACTACTTTGAATGTACTTTTTCAGGCGATGGCTAGTATTTGATGGCTACTATTTTGTGTAGCGATTTCAAAATGTTTTTATTATAATCTCTTATAATAAAAATACAATAATAATATATTGCTCTACTTTGTATTGACCACTTTTTTAAAAGTAAATGCTACGAACAGTGGATTTTTAACTCATCTATTCTTTCTCTCATTTGGATATATATATATATATATAAAATAAATAACATTAGTATTTCTAAATTTAAACTCGATTAGTCCCAGATATGGCGATAAACTACATTCAGTAGAAAAGCCACTGATCAGCTAATCAGGAGGCTTTGAAGAGCATAAAACAGCCTCTTAATTACTGTTGCTCCCAGGTCCACCCTGACACTGTTAGGGTCACAGCTATGGGCAAATAGTAAACTCATAACAAAAAACAACACTATGAAAGTATACAAATACCAGCAACACATTTTTATATAAAAAAAATTACCAACAATACCTATTTATCATTAAAGTACCAATAATATATTTTATATGTAGTTAAGGCCTTAAGATTGTGTTCAAAATATTTAGATTTTGTCATTAAATAACCTATAGAGGTTGATATGCTTCTAAACAAAGTTAACCAATCCAACCAGGGTCAAGTAGCAATTCATTTAGTTTTTCATGTTTTTCCAGTTATGTTTGTTATATTCACTTATGCACACATACTCTTAGGGAAGGTATGAATACATCACCTCCCTAGCTATGGATTAAATAGTAGGGCTTATATCTGAAAAAAAATATATTTTTCTCAAAAGAAATTGTTCACTATTTACATTATTCAGACTATTGTCCTCATCTTTGTTGCCATATTTATTACGTTTCGGCCATGTCTAATGGATGTCAGTTATCAGTTATCTCCCGTTAATTCCCCTCACCAAGTTCTCCACTGCCTTAACCGGGTATTGAATTCACACTCTTTGGGTCCTCTCACTTTATCCACTATGCCATGTGTCCTTGACAACGGCCGAAACATTGTAATAAATATGGCAAGAAAGTTGAGGACAATAGTCCAAATAATATAAATAGTGTACATAAAACCTCATCTCAGAAATATAGACAGATACTGAAGGGCAAAAACGTTGTGATAAATATGGCAACAAAGATGAGGACAATAGTTCAAATAATGCAAATAGTGCACATAATACCTCATCTCAGAAATATAGACAGATACTGAAAGAAATTGTTAATGCAAAATTCGCTCACAAAAAAAGAATTGTTCTTACAATCCAAAATGTTTTGGTTTTTAAATAACCCACAAAGAGTTGATAAAACGCAAAAAAAAACAGTCAGTCTCCTAGCACTTTCTAATTCGATTCATTATTTCATGGTTGCATTTAATTGAAACTAGGATTATTTGTGATTCTATGTTGTCTTTTTCCTATAAAACTGAAGGCAGTTTTATTTTATATTTTGAAGATGGTGTGAATAAACATTGAAATATTAACAAAAGAAACTTCTGTTTCTCGTCTGTTAATCAAATATTGATTCAATAACTGTCTATATCTCTGAGATGAGGTATTATGATTATTTACATTATTCGGACTGTTATCTTCATTGCCATATTCACAAGGACACGTGACCCAGTGAATAAAGACATTGGTTAGATCCAGTGACTAGCTTCTAGTGATATAATGTCTGTGTATATCTCTGAGATGAAGTATGATTATTCACATTATTCGGACTGTTATCCACATCTTCACCATATTCACAACATTTCAGTTGTTGTATGCTCCAGCCTTCTTCAGGTGATTAGAACACATGGCCCAGTGGATAAAGATGTTGGTTAAATTCAGTGACTAGACCCAAAGAGTTGTGAGTTCAATACCAGGTCACAGCAGTGGTGAACCAAAAACTTGGAGAGTTGAGTTAAAGGGAAATAACTGAGACATCTGGAAGAGGCATGACAAGTGAAACTAGAACAATCTACCCTGGTGAATGAAATAAAGGGTTAAGTTTGAAATTCTAATCACCTGACGAAGGCCAGAGTGTACAACGGTTGAAATGTTGTGAATATGGCAATGAAGATGAGGATACCAGTCCAAATAATGTAAATAAATATTGATTCATTGTAGAATCTTTTAAAAAGGTTAATTTTACCCTTTCGTATAGAAAGAGATTTTCAGAATGACTCAAAAAGTAAACTTTTTTTTTCTTCTTCCTTCCAGTTCGACAGATGGTCTTCATCATCTACTGTCCAACTCTGACTATGTTTGTAGCATTCTGCCAAGTACTACAGCCACTCGGGGCTTACTCAATGGAAACATTTTAGAAGCCTGCAAGGAAAGAGTAAGTGCAAATCTTTCTTACTCTTAGGGGTCTAATAGACAAATGGAGAAGGAGATTCTCTAAATCTCTGAACTTAAGAATATCCCATATTTTAATTTGGCACTTTTTAACTCTACAAGGTCTGATCAAAAAGTATCAGGACTGTTGCTGTGGTAACTGAGCTAAAGTACACAATGATGATGCTTGACACTGATTGACCATAGACCTGTTGCAAATTCACACTAAGTTATAATGTTCTTGCACACTTCCATTGCTTATAGCAGGAAGGAAAGTGTGTAGAGTGTGGTCATCTTGCCACACCCACAGAAGGTTTATCAGTGACCCTGGCCTGTGCAGCAGTTTTTAGCAAAGAACAACATTCCCCAGGTTCAACAATCCTTATATTCCCCAGATCTCACCCCTTGCAACTGTTTTTTTAAAAAACAAATCCCAATTCAGAAATTCTTCAATCAATGGAAATAATACTGGATAAAGTGTGTTACTTCAGAAGGTGACTACTTTAAAGGAGATTAAATGCTGAATTTATATGTGTTGTGGTTTTCTTTTTATAGTACCAGACCCCAATACTTTTTGATCCAACCTTGTATACAAGGGCAGCTTATCTCTCATCAAATACTATAATTTATATTTTAATGAAAGAGATAATCACCTACCTCGAAAAAGAGTTTGTTTTGTGTGCGATTTGCCAAAGAAAAATTACCAAAAAGTAGTTAGCAAAAATCTACTTTAAGGATCAGAATCTATGCTAATGTTCTTCCCTCCCCTGAATGGCATGACCAATCAGAAAGATCTCCTGGTAAACAAAAGCCATTGTTTTTCGCTTATGTGGTAGATTTGAATTTTCTGAGCTTTGTGGATGAACACATGTTTTTGCTGGTGAGAAGTGAAGGTTGGATGTGTGACCCCATTTTGTCGTTTTCCAAGTTGCCTGTTGGACTGTTACGACGGACTATCATTTGAACTGTGATTTGGCTACATGTGTTGTGGTCAAGAGACAGAAGAAATCTATTGTGGGCATTTATTGCTATTATAAGTTGACAGTTTTTTTTTTTTTCATTTCTTTACAACCACAAATTAGTAGACTTCTGATTTTCTGAATAATAAAATGTCTAAACATGAGATTTGCTTCTAATCATCAGCTTCTGAAGATGGAAATAAATGAAATATTTACAATATCTTCTTTTTTTTTATCAAGGTGCATGTTTTTGAAAATATGTGTGGCAGAAATACCTCCCACATAATGGTAAGGCTAGAGGGAAGCACCTAATATCTAACCATTATATGCGTGGCATTTCTGCCTCACACTCTACTTCTGTTTTAGAATTGTTTAATACTTTAATTTAGAATTGTTTTAGACTCCCAAGAGGATGTTTTCCTGATCACTACAATCTTAATTTCTTCAAGTCTAGTGTTAACCATTATCTTTCCCACATAAACTGCACTTCTTATCTACTCTTTTTACACTCATACAGTAACCCTCTACCTTGAATGGATCTTGGGCTTTTTTATAGCTCTTAATAAATTTTGTCTTTTTCTTATATCTCCTAAACCTTGCTTTGCCATCCATTTACTCAAGCTCTCAAGGTAGGTTTACAGTTAGAGGTGTGTATTATACTTGTGTTTTGTTTATAATTATGTTTAAAATACTACTACTTGCTTCTCAAGACGGCCAACTCTACATCTCTTGCCTTGTAGCTCCATAAGGACCCATTTCAATCAATGTGAAAATTTACCAACTTCAATACAAATCAACAATTCGCCCTTGCATGGAGTATTGCTGCCATATATGGTCTGGAGCCCCCTCTGTTTGCCTCGGGGTTCTTGATAGGCTCCAGAGGCGGATATGCAATATAATTGGCCCTGCTCTGGCATCTCGTCTACAGTCACTTTCTCACAGACGTGCCGACGCCTCTCTCTGTCTTTTTTACAAATACTTTCATGTCAATTGCTCCGAGGAGCTGCATTCGCTGGTTCCCAGACTTCATGAGTTCAAGCGCCCTACAAGGCTGGCATCCCACTCTCACCCCTTCACTGTTGAAACTCCTAAATGTAGCCGTCTCTTCTATTCCAATAGCTTAATGTCTCGCACCTCTCGCCTGTGGAACTCCCTTCCCTATTCCTGTTTCCCTGTGAGCTATAAACTCCAGCTATTCAAATGTAATGTCAATCGACATCTCCAGTTGCCTTGATCTATCCACTACCCTTCTCCTCATCCTTTCTTCTCAAAAGTTCTCAAAATCATTTGGACAAATACTACACTCTTCTTTTAAGTGCCAGTCATGGCTCTCCACAATTGTCCTTTGTTGCTCTTAATAAATTTTGTCTTTTTGTTATCTTCTTTAAACTTTGCTCTACCATCCATTTACTCAAACTCTCTAGGTAGGTTATGCATTGTTTACATCTGTCCTGTGAGTATCAAATTTTCCAAGCCCTCTTTTCTCATTATGTGCCCTAGAAGTTTCAATTATCTCTTCCTGATATAGAGTATAAGTGTCCTTTTCATGTCCATTTTCTCAAAAACTTTGTCGTTGCTGGCAAGTTCAGTTTTGGTATTCTCAGCATCCTTCTGTAGAACCACATTTCTGTTGTTTCAAGCCTCTTTATCTGTGAGGAGATTGTCTAATATTCAACACTGTATAGGAAGACTGATATTATATAACAGTTCAGTAGTCTTTTCTTTGCTTCTAACAAAATTTTTCTTTTTCTTAATACTTAGCTTTTGAAAGGCACCTTTGCATTTCAGTGTTATACTTTCCACCCTCTGTTAAAACACTGCCTGGATATTTAAATTGTTGTACTTGTTTGAGTTTGGTATCTCCAGTTCGTAATTTGCATGTTGCATTGTCCCTTTTGCTGACAACCATGCATTCCGTCTTCTTGCAATTGACGTGTCTTCTCGCTTTCTTTTCACTTCTGTAAGAGTTCCTCTAGTTTCCTTTATGTGTTTGCTATCAACATCGGGTCATCTGCATATCTTATGTTAAGATTTTGGCCACCAATAGTAAATTCTGGTAGGACTTCTAATTTGTCAAGAATTGTTTCATTTTATAGGTTGAATAAAAAGAAATCTCTTGTCCACATACAGGAAAGACCCAATAAAAAAAAAAAAATGAACAGAACTACCTTATTGGTCATTTTTAACAAAACATATTACAATTGTTTGCTTGTAAAAACTTTAGGTCAATAGCTCCCAAATGATTTTGGGCCATGACCCCACTTTGGTATTTCTAAAATTCTGGTGCCCCCTCATCTCTAATATTTAATTCTTACATGTATGCCAATTATACATGTACATACATACATAAAAATTGTTTTTATGTATGCATAATGTATGTGCATTGTATGTATTAACACACATTAACATTATTAACCCTAGAACACTAACCACGGGTATATAGTAATCAGTGCAAATTTTCCTATTTTTAATTACAATTTTCAGTACCCGATTTTCTTACCTAAATAATGTTTTTCAGTTCCTATTAATGTTAACTCAAAGTACAAAGTTTGAAGTGTAAAATATTTCAAATAAAGATTTATATTTAATTTTTTTTTTTTCTTTTTTTGATATTTTCAAAATCGGGTATGATATACCCATGGTTAGTAGTGATGTTATTTTAATTGATGGTTAGTGTTCTAGGGTTAACACTTAGACTCACTAGAAAACAATTCAGTTAATAACTCATTCTCGAATTGCCCTCTTATTCTGTTGATATAGTAAGCCGAAGGTGAACATCCCATGCATGCCCCCACTAAAATATTACCATGCCCTACTGGTGGGGTATGCACCCCACGCCGGGGATCATTGCTTTAGATCAAAAAAAAAAAAATTAAAAGTTGTAAGCAATTTACAAGTCCTGATGCAGTATTTGCCTCACTTTTGAGGCTCTGCAGCATCAAAATTTTCTTAACTTAAGCTTGAATTTTTATTTAAAAAGTTGCAGTATGTTTAATTTCAATACTTTGACTTTTTGCAGCAATCTATTTTCATTAATGTTGGTCGAGGAGATGTCATTGAAGAAGAATTTTTGTTGAAAGCCCTGAAGTAAGTAAAGAGATTCTTATATAAATAATATGCACACGTTTTTTTTTCCATATTTATATATCACAATGTTCCTTACGAAAATGGTGAACAGATTGTGTGCTAATTCTTACTCACAGTGCTACCCTCAAATGAAAGGTCCCACTGAAAACATCCTGGCAAAGAACTTATTCATTTTAACAAAACTTATTAGACTGTATGAAAAATAATATCCGATTTTAGAATAAACCTTTTAATCATATTCTAATAATTTATAATATTTTCATAAAAATATGTTCCTAATAATTAAAATGTCAATTTTGTTAAATTCTGAAAGTGATTGATATTATCAGTTATCTCCCTTTAACTCTAACTCGACTTTCCAAGATTTTGTTCATCTCTGCTGTAGCCAGGTATTGAACTCATAACTCTTTGGATCAAGTCACTGGATTCCCCGAACCCTTTTATCTACTAGGCCATGTGTCTTTTCTCAGTAACCATTGTTTTTTTTGTTTTTTTTTACCAGAGCTCTTATTGCAATTTTCTAGAGTATTTTTTTCTCTAGCACTCTGTATTATTGATTCCCATATTGTATTAATTTCTAGGCTTTAGATTTCTGTGGCTTAACACAGGGGTCAGCCACACGCGGCACGTCAAGCAATTTCCAATGGCATACAGACCATAACCAATAACAACTACAACGCAAAGAAGATATTTAGCTGTTTCAGTTTTAATATAGACTAAAGTATATATACTATATATTACTACATAAAATAAATGTATATCTTAACCTTGACTTGTATAAAAATACATATGCTGTTGGTACACTGAATGATTTTAAAACTCCAAGTCGACACATAGCATATGCACGGATTCCTTAAGTTGGACTTAGTTATCTCCCTTTAACCCAACACTGATACTGAGACATCCGGAAGAGGCAAGGCTCAAAGTTTCCGTTCAGTTTGCATAATTTGTGTATGTGCAATAATAATAATATCGGTTGGGTTATCTCCCCCTGGACTGATGAGATCAAAATCAAATAATCTCAATATTTAACCTTCATACTCGAAGAAAAAGAAAAATGGTGTCTCAAAAAGGATGATTTTTTTTTCCCCCTTGACACCACAATTACTTTATACTACATCATCTCCCTCAGCAATGTTTATCATTTTAAGAGGTGACGATTAAAAAATTTATTGAAACCCAAACATGAAATAAATTTATACATTTTTTTTGTTCTTGATAATTTGCAACAAAAATATATTTTTTTTTTTTATATTACAGTGTAACCCGGATATAAGAGAGTTGTCGGGACTGGAGAAGAAGTCTCTTATATCCGGGTTTGGTCTATTTTGTTTAGGTAAGTATGGCTCTAATTTGGGACCAGAGAAAATCTCTCTTATATCCGGGTTACACTGTATTACTATTTATTATACTTTTTATTTACAAGAATATTTACAACATTAGAAAAATATGCAAACCAACTACAATTCTGTGTTTACCATTTACCAATTTATAAATAAGTATGAAAACAATCTTTTTTTTTTTTTTTGCATTCATAAAAATTTATTAAATTATAAAAATGTGTGAGCAAATTATGAAATCTTTATTTACCATTTTATAAAGTTCAAATCAATTGGCAATTAGCCGACCATAGATCACGATAATGAAAAATTGGAAAATTAAAACAAGTAATTTGCGAGATAAAATAAGAAGAAAATGTGTTATGTATTTTCTTCTATAGTTCATTGATATTTTTATAAAATGAATAAAAAAAAAACTCTCATTTTATAAAAATATCAATGAACTATTTCTCAGTTATTTATAAAATGATAAATAATATTGCAATGTTGTGTTACGAGGATGCATTTCTATAGTAAGGGATTCTAAAGTTTTCATTCATGAAGTAGTTGTAAAATAGAGAAATTAGAAATAGAACATTTGGAAGATTCTAGATCATTCCAGTACATTCGAGAAAATTCTAGAAATATGCTAATTAGGTGCTAGCCCCTATAAAAATACATTTTTGGAAAAGGGTTGTCAGTTGTTGAAGCCAGTATCAACTCCAGCTTTTGATTCAAGGATTATTATATCCATCCGAAAAAATCTCTATGAAAAGTTGCCGACCAACAAAACCCCCAAAAGAGAACCCCTTGGAACAAATCTGGTACATAGAGTTTTGACTATTTTCATTGACCAAACTACCAATTATTCAATATATTCTCACATTTATGGATTTCCAGTTAGTAGCACTTAGATTACTTTGCTAACCCTAAAAAGTGGTAATGAGACTTGACTCCCTTTTCTTCTCCCTTGTAATACTTTGCACCTTGTATATATTTATATTGTGTTTTAGTAAATTAAATATTTGTTTGTGATTTAGCTCTGTGTTTTGGTAAATCATTTTTTTTTTTTCCTTTGTTACAATTTCCAACACGTAACAGTTGTTAGTTAACATATTTTGATAATTTTGTAAATAAAAAGATTTCTTGACAAATTTATTTTGTTTTTATAAAATAGTAGAAAATAAATTCTTATAAAAGGTAAATACTAAATATCATATTATATTTCATTCACATATTTTTATAATCTTTTTAATAAGCATTGCTGAGGTAGTATACAGTAGTTGCATCAACAGAAAAATAGTCTTTTTGAAACACTGGCATGAAGGTTAAACTTTGCAAAAAAAATAATTTTCTTTTAATTTAGCCATTACGTACCTACAAACAAACGTACCATTACGTACCTACAAACAAGAATATAGTTTACACAGAGTATGTTCAAATTAAACCATAAAAAATAGGCTGGTCCACTTGTAAAAAAAAATATATATATATATATATATATATATATATATAGGAAAAAAGGTTTTAAATGTGTGTATGTCAATTTAGAGGGAGTCCTGTTTAAATTATCAATACACCGTCAGGTTGATCCCCAATTTTTACAGAGTTATTGGACTTAACTGTTTTGCATATAAAAAAAACAAACTTCTTTTAAATATGGAACCAATGGATATATACATTTTTTATTTTATTTTAAATCGAGTTCACCCCAAGCAAGGCAGTAAAAGAACCAAGACATAAGAAATTGAGTGTGAAAGAATAAGAAAAAAAGAGAAACATTTATTAAGGAGCGAGAACAATAGAAGAATAATCAGGAAGAAAGTAAATAACAATTGACATAGCATTTAAATTTTTGAAGAACAAAGTTGGCTGGAGCCAGAGAGTTCCACAAGTGAGAAGTGTGAGAAAAGAAACTGTTAGCATAGAACTTATGCTTACATCTAGCCAGTTCAATTGTGCTAGCAAAGAGTTTATTCAAACAGTTACCATGAAAATATTTATATGAAAAGCACAGAGAAGCAACTTTATGGCATTGGGAAAGAGACTGAAGCTAAGATGCCAGGTCAGGACCAATAATGTTGCTGATTCTTTTGATTTTATCAAGAATCTAAATATATAGCAGAAGCACCAGACCAGATGTGGTAGCAATATTCAATGCATGGATGAATAGTAGACTTATAAATATGCAAGATAGATTCTGTGAAGAAAAATTGTCTAGCACGACAGTAAACCAACTTTCTTAGCAGCAGCTGTATCAATGGATTCAATATAATCTTTCCTGTCAACCCGAGAAGGCGTAATGAGCCATTCACATGGAGGTTAGCATCAGCCATACTAATGGGAAGCAATAAGAGATCTTTCAGGGGATTAATAGAGATCAGTTTAGTTTTGGAGGCATCCCTTTCTCCAGTTAACAAGTTGGCTGTAGGTTATTAATTTTAGTTCAGCTGCCAATTTGACCTTATTAAACTGATTGAACTTACTATCAAGTCAGAAATAAATGGTTGTGCGATCAGCATAGATACCAAGTTGAGAGCTGATGTCATCGATGAAGATTAAGAACAATGTAGGTCTAAGGATAGATTCCTGTAGGACACTTGCATAAAAAGATCTAGAAGAATTGCCGTTCAGGACCACTTTCATTTTGCAATCTGATAAGACTGAATCAGTTCAAAAATTAATCTGGAAATACCATAACCTTCCAACTTGGGAAGAAGACCAGTATGCCAAATCCTGTCAAACGTTTTCGAGATATCCAAAGCAATAGCCTGAGCTTCACAAGTCTTATCTAAAGTTTGATAGACTCTTTCACCAATAATCATTAGTACATCAGTATGCATCTGATTAATTCTTCATTTAAGGTAATTATTACTTTCAAATTTATTTCCATGTGGTTTTGAAAAAAATTCCATACAGGAAAAACTTTTTAAAGAATTTGAAGAAAATTAAAAAATATGCAGATATCAATGATGTTACCACACTTTCAGATTTGACATTTGTAAATAACAGTTAAATTCAATAACTCTGTAAAAGTTAGGGATCGATTTCACACAATATTGATATTATGAACAGGAACACCTCTTAAAGTGAATAACTTAAAAAAAAAAAAAATTATATATATATATATATATATATATATATATATTTATTTATTTGATTTTGACAAATGTTAGGCATTATTCATTTGGAAGTTGTTCAAATGTTGATTTATGGACATTTTTCATCAACTACCAGGGTCAGTGTTAAATATACATTAGATTCTTTAAGAATGGATTTAATAAACGTTGGTGATGTAATATAGTTTTTTTGAAATTTGTTTATAATTGGAACAATGGAATTAAAGTGTTGGTTTGTGAATTTACTGACAGTGGTTGTGAGTTCAATCTCTGTGCCAGGCAGTGCACTCAGCAGAAACAGGGGAACAATAACTGAGCATAATTATAAAGAAGAACTAGACAAGACATTAAATGAAGGGTTTAGTTCAAAATTGCTTATAAATTACTCAGGTCAATATACATCTGAGGAAGGCTGAGCACAGTGGCCAAAACATGATAACAACAAAGATGAGGGCAATAATCCTGATACAAATAGTGTAAATAATAAATAATTCCAACTGGACACACGCACACATCATCCAAATTCCACAAACTAGAATTATACTATACTTACACATACAAATTATACACACTAACACTGCTTGACAAATGAAATGTATATGAAACCTGTTTAACAAATGAAAATTAAACCACACAAAAATTAAAAAGAGAAGAAAATTTTTTGTTCTATATCTCATTCTCTGATGAAGCTTTAATAAAAATGAAACACGTTAGATTGATAAAAGAACAAATACATTTATCAATCATTAAGTTGAGATTTTATATATATATATATATAAAAATTGTTTTTTAAAAATATATAATTATCACAACACCAAAATTCCCATGTTTCAAAACTGAAACTTCAATTTAAATTCAATCATAAAAATTAAACTCAAAATACAAAGTCCCATTCCATTATCAAGTGATGCTAAGAATAACTTTTTAGAAATTGATTCACTTAATTTATAAGTCCAGACAAATTTGATATTTTGAGATATTGGGGTTAAGGAAAATTTCATTTTTTTTTTTTATTTTAGGAGTGTTAAGATTTAACTTATTTAGAAAACTCATCATGTATTGTAGCTAACAAGTCGGTCAAGTCAAGGTGGGGACTGGGGTATCTGTCTATTGATACAAACGTCCTTTTTCCGAGCAGAAATTTGTGGTAGTGTCTATGTTCCAACACATCATCCGGTTTCAATAGCAATACATTTGGCATTATATTTAATTAATTTTTATAAATTTCAATTACAATTTTTTTTTCAAAAGGGGAATTCAAATATTATTTAGTCACATTTTTAATATTTATATTTTTATTTGTACCAACTTAAGATATTATATTTTATTTACTAATTGAGTAGAGATATGGTAATGTTAAAATCAATATATTATAATCTAATTATGCATTTATGATCAAATATAAATATGGTTTCATTTCTTTTAAGGAAATAATTTGGCAATGTCTACAAAAACTTGCTATTTCATTTCTTCAGTTTAATATATTTTTATTTTTCAGAAACTTAATATTTAACTTTTCATGTATGCACAAAGGACATGGGTATTTAAAGATCTACAATTTTTTTTTTTTTTTTTTTTTTTGTTAATTTCCAATTTACTGTTTTATTGGTTTCTTTTAAATACCAGAAATATTTAGATAGGGATGTCTGGCTGCTGCATTTAGTATTATTGAAGAAACTTTGGTGTGGTTTCCATCTTAATTTAAATTCATGCTTTGTACATCCTACGTAGACTAACAACATTAGGATTCTCAATAGATGAGATATTGCATTGATAAACTACAGATTTTATATGTCATTTATTATTCAGAGGACAATTATCAAGATTTCTACAGTTACATAATTTTTCTTTATTTTTATTTCAGGACCTATATTTCTTTGATTTTTGTATAAATATTTATTCATGATTTTGGCATTATGCTTCTTGATAATCCTTTCTAAGTTCTCAGTACAAATGTAACTTGTTTTTAAGGTATTTTTATTAAAAATTTTGCTGAGTTTACTATTTCTAGGAAAATGTTTTTCGATTAATGCAAGGAATTTTTGCTCTAGTTTACTTATAACCATTTGGTTGAACGGGGGTGTATACCAAATGATATGCTCTACTGTTGTATCAAGCATTGTTTTGTTTTTGTTTTTTAAATAAGTTCTAAGAAATCTAAATTATACATATCATTGTTTTTTTTTTTATATATATATATATATATATATATATATATATATATATATATATATATATATATATATATATATATATATATATATATATATAAATTTTACCTCCTCTTAGGTCTGGTTGGCTGGGAGGTGCTATATTGGATGTCTTTCCCAAAGAACCTCTTGATAAGAATTCAGAATTGTGGAGTCTTCCTAATGTTGTAATCACACCTCATGTTAGTGCAGTCAGCTTCAGTAGCAATGTAAGTAAAACAAATTTAATTTAATTAAAAAAATTGTGGTGGGAGTAGTAGAAGTCCTACCATGATTCATTATTGAATCTTAATGACAACATAAGATATGCAGATGACAGTGTTGATAGCAGACCAAGAATAGAAATTGAAAACTCATAAAAAGGGAAAGAAAGAAGTAAACTGCACTGAAAGAAAATGATGCAGAATTTGGAATAGTGAAAGATTCCTTCAAAAAGCTAAGTAAAGTATTTAGAAACAAAGGAAAAGATTACTGAACTGTTATGTAATATCAGTTCTTCTATATGGCAGCGAGTGCTAGACAATCTCCTCACAGATGAAGAAGAGACTTGAAGCAACAGAGATGTGGTTCTACAGACGAGTGTCCTTAGAAACAAAGAAAAGAGTGTTGGACGGCAATGTAATATCTAATCTCCTATATGGCAGTGAATTCTGGACAACCGCACAGATGAAGAAGAGACTGCAGAAATGTGATTCTACCGAAGGATATTGAGAATGCTGTAGAGTGAACATGCAAGCAACAACAAAGTTCTAGAAAGAAAAAGGACACTTACAGACACTTTAAAAGAACGAATGCAATTCCTCAAAATCACAAAGTTTGCTGTACTCACATGTAGCCTCGCAAGGTTTTCAAGCAGAAAAAGTCAATCACTTTTATAGCAGTTTGTTAGACCCTATGTAATAGGTCACTATGGTGATTTGGAGAGACTAATTGGATAATAATTACTAAAAAAAAAAGAAACAGGTAAAAATTGTTTTAAAATAATAAAATAAATTTAAGAACAGTTTGAAGGAGAATCAAACCCAGAATTAACTAGCCAAGATTCAGTAAAATTGAGCAAAACCAACATCCCCCTACCCTATCCACTTCTTGTCAAAAAGAAGACATGATTAATGTCATCCAAATTTCTATGGTCCTGAGAAATTCTTTTAAACAAAAACAGAAATTTTTTTGTTAATTCCCAAGCTTGAACTTGTTTGTGTTGATGTTCCACTCCAAAAGACCATTATTGTTCTTTGTTTAGAATCTTTCTATGACAGGCCCAACAAAGAAGGTCACTAGATATTTGCTCCAGTTGCATTTTCTGTGGCCGTAGCGAAAACAAACAAGGAGATGATACCAGAAGTCAGCTCAAAATTGCTCATAAGACAGTCATCACTAAAAGCATACCTGCAATTCCAGTGGCCAGAGCAACAAAAAAAAAACACACACACATGACAGAATTGATTAGGAGTCAACTAGCTGGTTATTACTTTAATATTTGCAACTCAGTTAAGTGCCATATGTGTTACACACTTGAGCAATCATGTATCTTTTGATACACAAGGCAAGATTTTTTCCGCATTAGGTTACCATTTCTTTTTGCAGTAGACTGGGATTTTTAGCCTTGATTGGCAACCAGTCTGTCCTGCTATTTAACCCATATCTGGGAGGAGAAGATATGGATTCATACCTTTCCCAAGGATATTTGTGTGTAAGTGAATATAATGAACTCAGCTCTATGAGTTCTACATTTCCCAAATCACCATCTGGCAGTAGAGACCTTGATTTTACAGTAGATAATAGAGACATTTTATTCAGTCAGTTTTACTTTATATTAAGTAAACCTGTTAGAGTTATCAACAGTGCTGAACATTTTATTGAAGGAGTTCTTATTCCCGTCTGATTCACAAAGTACTTCTAGGATGCAAAGAAACAAAAGTTACCATGACCACAAACAGGAATTACGTGCATTTGTCTGTGGTACACAATGAGGCTCATATAGACTTTACTGTCAAGCCCAATGTTGTAAGATTTTGGTAGAAACTGGATCAACCCTCTTGAGACAACACACCAGCCCCAACTGAGGAGGGAAAAGTTAGCCAAGTGACCCATAAGGTCAATATTTGTCAACAAAGCTAGCAGAGCTAACCACCGAAGGAAAGGAGTCATGAATTGATAGGTGTGCATGGGTTACACTGTTACGGTTTGCTATTCATGGATCATGGAAATGAACTATCCTAATTTTTTTCCTATATAATCCATTCCACTAGGTGACAATTTCAACCATGATTGGTTGAAAGTAGCTCATTTACAGCAGAGACTTTTTTTTCTTTTTTCTGCAAAAGCAGCATGTGACACGAAAGCACTTTGGGCTTCCGGGTATGTTGCCATTTTCTTCCGTACAGACAATGAAGAAAGATGGCTTAGAGAATTTGAAACTCACAGGGTGTACTGAGAGCAAAAGGAACAGATGGAAACATCAAGTAACCTACCTAACAAGCTTGTGTAAATGAATCCTAAAAGAGGGAATGGGAGGTATGGTGAAAAGGCAAACCTTTACTAAGAGCTACAAAAGTTAGGAAGCTGTGGAGAGCTATGATCGACCGTGTCCTGAAGAGAAACACTTCATAGAAATGAAGGATGGAATCCCAGCCTTCACTTATGAGCCCTTATTATAGGCTGAGCCTCGTCAGGAAATGGGTGATCATGACTCTCCATGATTTCCCCATATCTCTAGATGTTACAAATCAAATCAGAGGAAGTATAAACATTTTCATGACAATTGTACTGGTGAGCTTTCATCTTTAGTACCTGGACTCCACCAATTTAAGCGCAGTACTAGATTGGAAGCATTTTACTGTAAGATGTTAATAGTTCTCGCTCAAGGAACCTTAAAAATTTACATGCAACATCAATCATTTTTTTCTGTAGCCTTGAAAACTGTTCTTTTATTGTCCTTTCCACTCAATGTTTTCCCAGTAATCACTTGTGGCTTTAGCACATTACTTGGGTGAAGTAATTTATAACACACACAAAAAAAGCAATGCACAAAAAAGTAAGACATGAAAAAAAAATCATTAAAAAAAAAAAAAAAAAATTTTTAAAACCAAGAATAAGTTAATAGAAGTAATTACTTATTACTCCTGCCATAGGATCACTAAAGTATAATGAAAGTAAATAACTTAGATCCAAAATATCAAAATTACCAATCACCACAAGAAATAAATACTTCCAAAAGTGAATAGTCCTCACTAAATAATAAACTTGAACTATGAGGGTCTAGACGCTTCTAGAATCAAACAGCCAAACCACCTGCACATATAGTGATGAAAGCTTGTTAGGAAACGGTC